TCGGCGCGCATACAAAACGCTCGATTGGCATTTGACAACTTGAGACATTTGTGGTGCTGTCGCGACATCCGGCTGTCTGTGAAGGATCGAGTGTATGTTGCAGCAGTTCGGACAGTCCTGCTCTACGGCGCTGAGACTTGGCCACTAAGGGAACAGGATAAAAATAGATTGTCGGTGTTCGAACACCGCTGTCTGCGTAGCATTACACGTATCTGGTGGGGTAACCGGACTAGCAAGGTTAGGCGTAGAGTTTTAGGCGGTCGCGGTCGTCTACTAGAGCAATTGATCCACCTCCATAGATTACGTTGGTTGGGACATGTGTTACGTATGTCGCCAGATAAGTTGCCGCGGCGAACGATGTTTGCCAGGGCTGGTAGCGATTGGAAAAAAGATAAAGGGTGGTCAAACTAAGACGGTACGAAAACCCTAACCAGGAGCCTATGTCACATAGGCCCCGTTAGGCTCCCTGGCTGGGGACCTCGGGATGATGGTCACCGTTGGTTAGCTATACTAAGTGATATGACTGGGTGTCGCAAACAGTGGAGCTCGTGCATCCACTCGTTATTCTCCTAACACCACTTTTTATGAATTCCCTACCTTCCGCTTGAATTTGCTTCAACATTCCAATCTACATTTTGCTGTTTTATCCAAATGGGCAACCAAAAGACAGCGCATGAAAGTGCATGGTTAATGGTTCTAAAATCCGACTTGAACTGAACTCCGATGTCCGCCTCTTTCCTGATGCGACACGAATTAGACGGAATGGCTTTCCAAAGTTCACTGCGACGGTTGCAGCCTCCATGCTGTCTGCAATCGCCTTCAAGTATTGTTTACGGTCGCTTTTCGTGGAGCATGTGGCTTGGCGAAGGAGAATACGAAATTCAGGAGAACTGATGAACCGCGCATCTCTTGCTTTTGCGGACAACTGCAGTGTACACTCGGAGATCCAGTCAATCTTGTGGCGAAGAATCTCACCTAACTGACCCAGCGCCGCTTCTCTGATGGACTTTTTCAGTGTAGACCACTGTGCGTCGACAGCTGAGTCATCCAAGAAAGTTTTGGCTATGTTGGAAGCGGTTGCCTCCAGCAGTGCCTGCCTTCTCTCAGGGCTCTCGAAGAGCACGAAGTTGAATTTACCCGGAAGACGAGTCTTCCGGCGAGTAGTCCGGTGGATCTTGAAGCGGGCGCGTACAAGAGTATGGTCTGTACCCTTCCTGTTTCAAGTTTCTGCGCCGCGATAGGAACGGCAGTCTTCTACCGAAGAGGTCCAGCGAGCACATACCAAAATAAAATCAATCTGGTGTGCCGTTCGACCATCATTTGAGTACCACGTGAGCAGGTGTTTTCTGGGGTGCTGAAAATGAATGTTGGCCACTACCGGCCGGTTAAGGTTAGCAAATTTGACTAGGCGTTCGCCATTTTCGCAATGTTGGCCGAGGCCGAACTTTCTCAGAACATGCCGAGTATGTTCGTCTGATGGACCAGTGTGTGCGTTCTACTCCCCTGCGATAACGAGGATGTCGCGCCTCGGACTTCGGTTCACTGCGCCTTGAACTTGGTTGTATAAGTCGTATTTGCTGGGCTCTTCTGCATCTAATGTTGAAGAAAATACAGCGATGACAGTCAGGTTAAACGGCTTTTCCCTGTCGCGCGATCTGGCAATCCTGGGAGAGACTGGTTCCCAGGAGATCATGGCATTGTTGACCCGGCCGCTCACGGCGATTGCGACTCCGTGTAAACCGGAGTTGTCAGTTGGGCCGCTGTGGTATAACCGGTAGATTGCGTTGCTTTGTGGTACGTTGATTAGGTTTGTGCCACAGTTAGGTAGTCGGACTTCGGACAGACAACAGCTGTCTACCTTGTAGTCGTGCAGTGATCGTATCGTGATACACTGGCTTCCTGCATCTAGCAATGTTATAACATTCCAGCAGGCTACATGGGTGTTGCATCTGGAGCATAGATGATTTAGGTTCCCAGCTTGTTCATTTGTCACCCCAGCCACTGTGAGAGCGCAGTGCGCGTCGCTTCCCGGGAACGCCGTAGCATAAACGTGATGTACCATTGTAAGACGATCCATGAACAAACTTGGGAACGTGGTACTAAATCACGTCCCGAGCGTCGCTCAGCTTTTGTTCGAGGGTGCACCTCTAACCCTTGTAAAAAGAAGTGCAACCTGTAGGGTAACAGGGTAGAACTGTTGGTAGCCGTTGACAGTTAGAACAGCTCATATACCTTTCGGATGGCTCTGCGCCAGTCCAGGATTCCCCACCGTGTCTGCGAGGTATCATTCCTCAGTTTGTCCTACTCGTAAGAGTAGGCAAGAAGCAATGGCCTTATTTGGTGGCGGGGCACATTCGCACACGTCGCGATGCTGTCAGCAGACACATAACAGTTGAACGGGATATCGGTTGCCAGCCCAAACCCCACCATGTCCTCTAGCATCGCCCATGATCGTCCGCGACCGATTATTCAGTGAAGGAGCCCCACGTATTCAGGGGTAACCACCAAGGTGGCTGTTCTCCTATCCGCGTCCTGGAGGCGCGCTCTGTAGAACTCCGCTGTGATATCCGTAGACAGTTCATTGCCTACCGGCCGAGTACTGGCTATCACGTACAGGCGTGAGATGACTCGGATTTGAAATGAGTACAATGTTGGCTGATATTTTACTTTATGTGTAAATAAACAAGACTGAGGGGATTTCACTCACTATAGATCGATTATTCGGCCATTTATCAAGCCCGTCATCTTTTCCATTGTCAAATTGAGTCGCACAAAGTAAATTACATCTGCTAGCACTGCAGTTGTTTTGGTTACCATTAGATGGTAAATCCTGAATCCCCTCCAATTCACCTCTATTTCACGGGACAACATTCATACTTCAACAGTACCTCTGGTTCATGTACAGTTCTGATTGCCAGATTTGGGGCTCGTCATGATTAACAATTCCCCTTTTTGGAAATGATGTGGAAAGATTGTGGCTCGGGTTGCGGATGTTCGTGTTGGTGGTGTGTTCTCCGAGCTAGAAGTTTTGTTCGCAGACGTTCCAGGCTAGACAACATCAGTGCGACTTCGTGGGAAGCACCTTGTCCCGCTAAGAAATGTCTGGGAACAACATTTCAAGCTCGGGGAATAGACAAACATCAATTCTTCTTTGCTGTACAATGCATAACATATTCTGGAAGTTTTATTCACCAGCGATCTTGCACATCGTTTCATGCACTCAAACCATTTAGTGAAACAGTTGGACCATGCCGCAGCGGGTAACCCTACGACCAGTTCACTGAGGGCCTCCACTAAAGCTAGTGATGAATCGAATCGGATTCCACTTTCGGCAACACAAAATAATCACACGGAGCCAGTGTGAACTGTTAAGTGTGTGGTTAACCTATTGGATGCGTTCTCTAGCCATAAAAGCACCGACGATATGGGACCTGTGTGCACGTGCGTTGTCAAGGTGCAGCAAGGTCCCTCGCGATCGAGTCCTTGGACGATGCCTGACAATAGCTTCCAGAACTTCCTGTACGAGGGGTGCACCAGTCGCTTTTGTCCACGAACATAGCCATCGTCTGCTTTGCCACACTGAGCTCGTGTCGGAATTTCTGAGGCGGTGTTCCACCAACCGGTGTCAATTGAGCCGACTATTGCCCGGTCAAGGGGTCGAAACTGCACACCCAATTCTCGTCACCACTGTTGATATTCCAAACAGCCTCGGAACGTCCACCATAAAACATGGCAATCATGCTGCGATACCAATTCATCCGAATTGCTTTCTGTTCCTCGCGCACCCTCCTCCATCATCGCTTGCACAGCAGCAATTTTGCCCGCTGTATTGACCTCCATTGGGCAACCACACGGTATCTCATCATACAGGGACCGCCTGCCACACTTGAATTTCACAAACCAGTCAAATACAGTGCTCCTTGAAGGCGCGCCATCACCGAAGGCAGCTAGCAAACGATCTACACTGCTGCTGCTTTAAACCGCATTTATAGTCGTAGAAAATAATCGCCCCTAGTTAAATTGACTGAGTTCCATTATTACGACAGTCCGAGTATAACGGTGATCCGCGTATGACTTGTGAGCTGTGTTCCTAGCTATGTTGATATCTGGTTCTGTGTGTGAGTTGCAGCCACTGAACAATATTCGCAATACGAGATTATAGTTCACGATTTCATTGCCCTGTCATCTGCACCTTGTACTCGTCGTGTGTTGTCTGTCTGCTCAGCCCTTTTATTCGATCCATTTCAAATATATTCTTGATTTGGCTTAGCTAAAAGTTGGTCTGCCTACAGGTGAGAACATTTACCTATCAGTCTTGAACTCTGAGCCTGTAGAGTAACACTTTTATCCAGCCACTTTCATTCACCTTGATTGTTCGCATCGTTGGTTTGTTGAACAAAACAAAAATTTCCGTCGGGCAAACGAACGCGTTTTATTGACTCTGACCGTACACAGTTCACCAACGTGTCATTATTCAATTCACTGACCGTCCAAATAGTTCATTGCTGCTTCCGTGTGGACAATTGCATGAGCGGTCTGTTCAAAAACGTTAAATACTCGTGGCGATTAAACAGTCTTTTGCTGAACTGTATGAAACTGTATGACACTTTCAACACCATGGGTGTTCGGGATTCACAGCTGTGTCGTTCGTTTCGCAATGACGATCACTTCTGACGATCGGATCATAGTTTAATCAGATAAACACAAATTCAAGGTCAATGGCATTCATAAATTCGTGAATTCAATTGTATGACTCAGATTTGGTGATCCCAATGAGATACCAGCTGGTGAGACCACTGCACCTCTCGCTTCTTCGAATATTGAATTCCGTTTCTCTACCACATACACGCACACACACACACACACGATAGAGCTGTGATACCTCCTCTTCCCGTTACCCAATATCAACATTCCCCAGGGAGGAACAGGTGGTGACAAATCACAACAGCATTTATTTACTGACCAATAGGTTCCCGTACCGAGCGGGTATAGTATAAGTGATGCTTCACTGGATTAAATTTGACCATCGTTTACCACTAAAGACAACACAAAATAGCGATGGTGTTGTTGTTGTCGCTGCTGCTGCTGCTATTGATGATGATGATGATGATGATGATGATGATGATGATGTTGATGTGGATCCTTGTTCCCTGTCCACGCGCGTTCGCGCACGCGGCTATCTAACACACTCTCCTGTACGCATGGAACACAGCATCTGTGCATCTGGTCTCCTGTGCATCCAGTCCCTGGACCGTGTTTTACCCATGTTTCTGGATTATGGTTCGAAACTGGGTAGGAATGACAAGAGGAATGGGGCAACAGGTGGTTCGATTGGCTGAGATTAATGGCTGCGTGCAACGCAACCCAGAGCACCAGGGCAAGCCGAAGTGGATGTGTAGTGTGTGTGTGTGTGTGTGTGAGTGTATGTATGTGTGTGTATGTCAAAACGGACATTGAGATGATTCACTACACATTTTTGTGCGCCAACAATGAGAAGCCCACAGGACAGACAAGCAACCGATCAAATGTAATCCTCATTCCCTCTTTTTAAGCATATATAGAGACCACGAAGTTTCACCGACAGCACCATGAGCAAACGACAAGGTGTTTTCGTCTGATAACAATATATTTCGATCATTTCTAATGATCAATGCATTTTACGTGGATTGGAATGAATGTCGAGCGGTTCGCTTAGTTCGAAATGGAGTTAACTGCCGTGTTGGTGAGATGACAAGCTTAGCACTTCAGGATGCTATACGTGGATACAGAAATGCTCAGAGAACATGTAGAGAAGTGTATGCAGTCTAGTAGTAGTCTATGCGATCAACTGTCAGAAACACAGCAGTGAAGGGGCATTCATGCGTGGGGTTAACTCCCTCCCCCCCCCACCCGGGACACGTTGCTTGCGCAATGGGATTACTTTAGGGCAATTATTGTCCGTACAGGGCCATACACAAGGGGACCGCTTACTATGAGTCACGGAGAAGAGGGAGTTCAGCATACTGGCAGCTTGTTTTTTCTGCATAACATGCTATATCCACGAGGAACGGGTTTGTGCTAGTGTAACAATGCGGGGAAAGTCGAATAGAAAGGCGGGGCCTTAAAAAATGGCCGCGCGGTCCGTTACATCGTCGGACTCGGAACTATACAATCACTCTTCACTGGATTTATCTTAGATACACGTCCTTCGTTGCCATAGGAACGTTGTGCGATTATGGTCATCTTAAATTCCGTGAAATACTCTGCCGTTTTCATGAAGCAACTTCGAACTTCTGGCCGCCGGATTTCACCTTCTTTTGCCAAATCGGTTCGTAACAGGGAGAGAAGAATTTACGGAAACCTCAAAACATTTCCCAGAAAACACAGAGCTGGATGGCAGGTCGCAATACGCA